ATATTTATATTGGAGTTGCCCATTCGGATATAGAGCTCTCTATTAAGAATTTTTTTCATATCCAAAACTCAAAATTAAGATATTTAATTAAGGAAGGAGAAACACCATTCAATGCACTATATTCTTTGATGGTTATTTTTTGATATTTTTTTATACTAAATTTTTTACCAGGATCAATATTAATTCATGTTGATCAGAATGCTATAGAAATACCTTTTAATATTTGTCAAATAATGATTAATAATTGATTATATTGGGCCCGTATCACGGGCCTTAAGAATCTAGTTGATTAAGAAAAAAGATTTGGGCGGTTGTCATGGTCTACCATGTAAAATCATTTTTTTTTGGCTTTCCAATTCAGTTTTCGATACCCATATTGGAGCTCAATTAAATCTCACATTGGAGCTAAAACACTCACTAACAAAGGCATCTTCGTACCAGGACTGAGGAGGACAACTCTGATTAAGAATGAAAAAGTATTTATCACTCAACCACAACTTAATAAATTCTCTTAGCAGTAGCAAAATTATTTTATTAAGTTGGATTGAGGGTATTGCTATTATTGTTATTGTGTACAAAACAATAGTATTAAAAAGAATGTCAATAAGCTGGGGGCCATGAGGGGAAATTATACTAATAATTTCACCCTCAGTGTTGATATTTTTTGGAATATTACTATATTATAGAAGACTCTAGGAATTACTACCAACCATCCAATAAGATCCCTACTAATGTCCAATATATTTATAAAATATATAAGTGGGCTCCATCACCTTCCACTTCAATACTACATATTATATATTAATTACTACACTATAAATCACTACTAATATCCAATATATTTCTAAAATACATAAGTGGGCCCCACCACCTTCCACTTAAATACATATTATATATTAATTATTAATTACTATACTATAAATGACTTAAATACTCCATATTATCTATTACAATAATTAACAATTATTTGACACATTAAATTCTATCAATGCGATATAAATTAGGATAAAAAACCTAACATATAATATTTAAATATATTTAAAAATAATATAAGTAATACTATACATTACAATAATTAACAGCTTAATTATTTAAAACTTAAATAAAAAATTTAATTGACTCTCTAAATACTATTGGTACCACATAAAATAGATTATATAATAAACATATATTGTTTGAAATTGACGAAAAAGAAACAATAAATTACAATAATTAATAAAAAAATAGTCCACTCCAAAAAATCTATCAATTAACAACATATATTGTTTGAAATTGACGAAAAAGAAACAATAAATTACAATAATTAATAAAAAAATAGTCCACTCCAAAAAATCTATCAATTAACAACATATATTGTTTGAAATTGACGAAAAAGAAACTATAAATTACAATAATTAACAAAATAAATCTCTCGACTCCAACAAATCTATCAATTAATGCCACATAAATTGGGACATGGCAAATAACATATATTATTAAAAAATTAGGTTCAAAATGTACTATAAAATACAATAATTAACAACTTAATATATTAAAGAGACATATAAAAAATGGTTAATATTTGAAATTCTGCATGTGCCACATAAATTAGAACAAATAGAGTAATAAATATTACTTTCAAAATTATGTTAAAAAAAAGTACTACAAATCACAATAGCTAACAATTTAAAATATTTTTAAAATCATATAAAAATTTCAATAACTTCTCAAATTCCATAATATAACACTTAAATACTACATATTATATATTAATTATACTATACTATAAATGACTTAAATACTCCATATTATCTATTACAATAATTAACAATTATTTGACACTTTAAATTCTATCAATGCCATATAAATTAGGATAAAAAACCTAACATATAATATTTAAATATATTTAAAAATAATATAAGTAATACTATACATTACAATAATTAACAGCTTAATTATTTAAAACTTATATAAAAAATTTAATTAACTCTCTAGATTCTATTGGTACCACATAAAATGGATTATATGATAAACATATATTGTTTGAAATTGACGAAAAAGAAACTATAAATTACAATAATTAACAAAATAAATCTCTCGACTCCAACAAATCTATCAATTAATGCCACATAAATTGGGACATGGCAAATAACATATATTATTAAAAAATTAGGTTCAAAATGTACTATAAAATACAATAATTAACAACTTAATATATTAAAGAGACATATAAAAAATGGTTAATATTTGAAATTCTGCATGTGCCACATAAATTAGAACAAATAGAGTAATAAATATTACTTTCAAAATTATGTTAAAAAAAAGTACTACAAATCACAATAGCGTACAATATTTTAACTACTTTAAAAGTATTATAAATTGTAATAAATAATACAACAATTTAAATTACTTATTACTTAAAATTTAACGACTTAAAAATATTTTTTTAAATGTATTAAAATTTTGGTTAATTGTCAAAACTTTACATGTGCCACATAAATTGGGACATGAAGAGTCACACATAATTTTTTTTTAAAATTACATTAAAAGTATTCTATCAATTAACAACATATATTGTTTGAAATTGACCAAAAACAAACTATAAATTACAATAATTAACAAAATAAATCTTTCGACTCCAACAAATCTATCAATTAATGCCACATAAATTGGGACATGGCAAAAAACATATATTATTAAAAAATTAGGTTCAAAATGTACTATAAAATACAATAATTAACAACTTAATATATTAAAAAGACATATAAAAATGGTTAAATATTTGAAATTCTACATGTGCCACATAAATTACAACAAACAGAGTAATAAATATTATTTTACAAAATTATAGTAAAAAAAAAGTACTACAAATCACAATAGATAACAATTTAAAATATTTTTAAAATCATATAAAATTTTCAATAACTTCTCAAATTTCATAATATAACATAAATTAAAATTAAAAAATATATATATATTGGGCCCCGTGCTGGCACGGGGTCCTATATCTAGTATATATATATATAGAATGTGTGGTTATCAACCAAATTCCTTGTAGCATAATGTTTATTATGCAAAATGTGGCTTTCCTGAGGGCTGATGTATCTTATGCGACAAAAAAAGTCAATAGTTTTTTTATAAGGTAATATAAACAAAAACAAAAATAGTCAGCAATAATTATTAGGATTACGTAATTTTAATTAGAAGAGGACAGTGAAAGGTTTTTCTTCTTCATTTGCTCAATCAACTAAATCTGACTTCAGATTTAAAAATATATATATAATATTAAAAGTAAACTAATGGAGCTACTTCAATGTCAAAATTTTATCCGTGTAATCAGTGTTACATTAGATTATATTAATTTATCATTATTAAGTCATATTAAGGTGATAATATACATAAATTACTACTTGTATGATTTAGTAATGAAAGTGTATACGAAGACTTTTGTCACACACATATATCATACAATTTTTTTTATCTTACTCCAATCATGCATTTAGCCGATAGCAATCTTGGGAAATATTAAGACTCCCTAAATCGCATTCAACAAAATTTTCTTTAGGGTTATTCAAGCTTGAATGAAAAAAAAATTGAGGTATGTTTCTCATATTAATGAGTGATAGTTTAAGTGTGTTTCTCACACTCTCAACCGTTTAAGTATGAAGATAAAAAATAATGATAGTTTAGGCGTGTTTTTGATACCAAGTGATCTGATCTTTCCTTTGCATCCTCACTCGTATTCAGCTACAACTCCACCATTCAGGCTTCGATCCCATAACACACTTAAGTGAAGCAGGAGGGAGGTAATATTCCAGAGAGATCTTAAGTAGCAAGCTACAAGGTATTAGATATTTCTTTTTTTGATCAAAATTTGTCTTATTACATAATCTTAGTAAACCCACTCCTTACATGCCTTGTTAATTAATTTGTTTCCACTCAGTTTTACACTACTGTAAAATAGTAGGATGCATCTTTATGCATGCTTCCTTGGTTCAACAGATAAAAATGTCTACAAAGTGAAAGAAGTACGCACAATATCGTATTTTTAACTTAACTTGTGACTCTTACATGACATTTTTAACAAAATGAGATAATCAAAAATTAATATACAGGAGTACAAATTATCAATCAAATCAACAAAAGATGTTTGGTATACCTATGGACTTCGTTGAATCTTAAATGAAGCTGCTGCATTAATTCTTCAATCAGTATACATGTCGATTTCACGCCTAAAAGTCATTTCCTAGATATATACGAGTAATTGTAGAAACACCAACGGCATTGAATTAAGTTGTTACTCCGTGGGCTCAGCACTGCCACTTTTGTACCAGAAAAAATCTTACTCTACTCGTTGCACATTTACTCAAGGAGCCCTGCCACTCTCTTTAGGAAATCAATAAAATACATCAGCTTAATCTAAAATATAGGAGTATTCCGAATCGAACGATGCACTAAATGTTTAAAGACATGACTTACATAAACCAATTCTCTATCTCACATGAAAGAGTTGATACTTTGATGTGCTGCAGTTAATCTTCAGAAGCTGGTTTTACCTTTTTTTGCTGAATCTTTCAACTAATCATCAACTTGGTCATCTTATCTTTCATTGAACTATCCTCATCTCTGCACTAATTTGAAAAGAAGAAAAAAAACAAAACAAAAGAGACATTTCACTAAGGATTTTCATCTTCAATGCTTCATCAACAACATAAGAGATCAAGTGTCTGGGAAAAGGGCTAGAGTGTAATCCAAAGATAGTTCTCCTCTGGATCTTAGCATAAGTGGTAGCTAGGTGGTACTTCAATGCCTTGAAATTCTTTAAATAAGATTATCTGGTGCAACAATCCGGTATATACTTCTACTGTTATATTCTTAAAAGCATCCACTAAAATAGACATGTGAAACTTGACAAGGTATCGAAATAGCATTGACAAAATCATCATCACCTCTTTAAAGCTGTCAATCCTACTAACCACCGCCACTTCCACCATCCCTACTGGCAGCATTGAACACTCCGGCGAAGCATAAAGAAAAAAAATTATGGTAGCAGCAACCTAAACAGGCTGTTAAATCTCCTCCTCCTTAAAAAGAAAGTGCATATAGACAACAAAGATGTTATTACTTTAAAATTAGAAAATTTTAGAATATACTTTTCAAGAACAATATTGGTTTTAGTTTCAAGAAAAAATATTACTTAGTTTAAGCTGTTACTACCTCTTTGATGTCTACTGCATATATTTTCTGATTTTGCTTTTAGTGGCCCTTTTTAAAACAAAAATATTATCATACAGAATGAAGCTTTATCCTAAAATTACCAATGAAACTGTAATCCAGATGTTAAAATTAACTTAGTCTCTTAACATATATATAAGATTTTAGGTTGAACATACATTGCAAATAAGCATATGTCCACTTCCTATTCTTCCTAACTTTGTTCACGTTAATTTGTGAGTCATTTGTTCCAACAAATAAGGCACCAATAATGCTTCTTTTTCTTGTTATTGAGTCAAACCACAAGTTGAAATAGAAATAACAGCTAACAAAGATGGTCGAACAAATAAGGGTTTTTTTTTTGTAAAATTTTGGGGTTCAAGCAATAGATATGTAACATAGACACCTAACTTGATAAATGTCAATGGCAGCAGTGAGCGTATCGAGAAAAAGATAAATGAACATTGACATGCCAGTTTATAGTAATCCTCATTATAACCAACAGTACTAATTATCAAAATATAACCAAAGGGCAACAATAAGATTTCACTTTATACTCATTGAGAGCCAAATTTCATTTCTTTAACTCACAGCCATAGGACATCCTAGAGTTTCACATATAAATTGATGATTACAAACAATTGCTCATTAACATGCACAGAATTTCAGAAAATAGGAAGTTAAAATGAAGATAGACATAAAAATAGAGGTGAAGTAGAAATCACAAACCATTGTTAATAAGTTCTCCATGCCCTGAAATACTATGTGTATCATTATGCAAATGACAACTTCATGCATAGAGTTTAACTTTTTACAGCCACAGCAGACCATGGTATGAAAGAGTTCCTTCTCTTTATCTCCAGTAGAGTCTGCAAGATTTGGACAAAATTAAGAAAATGGTTAAACATCATGAAACTATGTCTTTAAGCCCAAATAATTAAGTATAATGAAGCAATTTGTTTTTTGTCCATGCGCCAAGAAGATGTAGTTTGCACTCAGCTGATCTTCAGCTGATCTCCTCCAAAACAACTACAGCATCAGGATGAGCAACTCAGATCAACAAAGAAGAATGTTTTTTGGGGATTTTCGCTTTGACCTTGCAATACTTTTTTCATGAAGTAAGGGGTAATTCATTAAAGGCATCCAGAAGATGCAAGCAAAAATTACAAGAGAGGGAGATAATGCCTGCTCATATACACAACATAACTATTCAATCACTAAAGCATTTTGCTTTGAGTACATGTGTAGGTGTTAAAATCTCATCAAAACATCTACAATTCCGTTCATTCCAGTGCCCCCAAAATATAGCAGCAGATACCATTTCCCAAACCTTTTAGATGGATTTTTCAATTTCCCAGGAACACCAGCTTTCATATGCTTCCTTGATGCTGTTAGGCTTGACCCGGCCTATTCCAGAAATAGAGATAACATGTTCCAAATATCATATGCTACAGAACAATGCAAAAAGAGAAGTCTAAACATCAAATATTTTCATACAACAAAATTAAAATACTACTACATCTCGATACCCCTCCCTCACTATTTCACACCTGTTGCAACTAAATGTCCAGTGATTTTTTAGTGAAGAATCTCAAAAGGCACCGCAAGAAAGAGCAAGAGAAAGATTGACCTCCCAGAATTCTTGGAATTGTAAGGCAAAAGTTCTGCATTTGAATACTTAGACATATTAGAATCAAGCTTCATCCTTCAACTAACAATTTATCATAACAGCAGGGAGTACTAATACCTGTAACTGTCTTCAAGATGCTAAAGACCTTGCAACAAGAGGCTTTGAGCATGTCAAGTAAAAGTCCAGTGAGACTCGAGGACAGTCTGACTTACAAATGAGCGCTAGAACAATACAGAATTCACCATGCATTGGCAATTTGAGGGATTCTTTGTAAGAGATATACTCATGATGCATAGAAATTAGTATTACTTTACATTAAGATAGTGATAATGAATAAGAAAGACCAATATGCCAAGTTTATTACTGACCAAACTATAGATATACTTGTCAGTTGAAGCTAAAAGTAGTTCTACTTTCCTATCAACATTCACCGTCACCTGTGTTTGCTATCATCGACTCTTGTTTGGGACCAGTCATCAAATTTCAGAAATTAATGTTTTACTTTCCTATCAACATTCACCATCACCTGTGTTTGCTATCATCGACTCTTGCTTGGGACCAGTCACCAAATTTCAGAAATAAGTTAGTGGGGACATGAAGGCATCAAGACTCAAGACCATGCCATTGTTTGCCACTCTTTTCATGAAAACCAAATTATCCCACAACATTTTTGAAAAAATAAAATCAATTTCAAGATTGAAAAACAATAACTGATTTTTTAGATCAATTCAAGAAAGCCCCTAACAGATACTGTTTCAGTGATCAAATCATGAAACTAAGTTAAACTGAGGTAGGAGGCTCAGATTTTCGCCTAGTTAATCAAAGAGCAGAGCTAAAACAGGCATGGCTGCAAAGATTGGTTGCCTCGTGAGAAGGGACTACAAGAAATTTATTATTTCTCATCCTCCTTCACAGACCTTCCAAGTTGTCTTTGCCATGCCAGGACTAGGAATTAACTCAAATGTTTTTCAGTCTTTTTTAAGATATCTTCATAACCTCGGAATTTTTGGACTATCAAGATATAGAAAAGGGTATCAAATTTGGGGATAAACACTACTTTAAATAGGTATGGTAAAGAATAAAATAAGACAAACTAAATTATACGCAAAAACAAAAACAATAAGGTAACAAGCATCCAAACTCTCTATTTTGGCTCATTTCTTTCTTTCTTTCTAGGCTAACCTTTTCCATGTTTGGGGAAATTATTTGTTTTTTTCATTCTTTGAATTTCCCGTTTGTTGTATGCCTCATTCTTCAGAGCTGAAATTTCAACGCAAACCCATAATAGGTTTTCCGACCCGATAAAACTCGCCATCCAAAACCATGAAACAAATTATTGAGGGCTCAGATTTGCTGTATTTGAATTATGCGATGGAGAAGAGCGACAACGCCATGGCTGCAGTGACACTAATTTGCTATTCAAAGCCTTAACCAGGTCGCCCTGCCAAGATACGGGTCGGATCTTCTCAATGCCGTGATTGAACAAAGCCCAAAAAGGAAGCAAGCAATCATCACAGCCCCTTCACAACATCATCATCAACAACAAGAGTATAGGGGTGTGTACGGACGAAGTTCATCCAATTTTTTATTTATTTATTTTGTTTATTTTAAAGGGCTGTTGGTTTTTTTTGGTTAGCAATGGCGAAATCACTGGCAAAAATGAGATGGGCAACCACCCTTCACAGAAAATCCCAATTTCTCCGATGCCTCATTCTTCGTCTCAAACCCGTAATGGGTTTTCCGACCCGAGAATGGACTCACCATTCAAGACCACGAATTGGGATATTAAGGGCTCAGATTTGCTGTATTTCTTAACAAAGCAAAAGAGAAAAGCGACGCCGCCATGGCTGCAGACACCAGTTTGCTATTCAAAGCCTTAACCGGGTCGCCCTGCCAAGATACGGGTCGGATTTTCCTCAATGCCGTGATTGAACATAGCCCAGAAAGGAAGCAATCAATCGTCATAGCCCCCGTTACAACATCAGCATTCAGCAGCACAAAGAGAGGAGAAGGAGAAAGAGGAAGAAAAGTATAATTAGGGTGTGTTTGGAAGAATTAAATATTAATAATGTTTGTTTTTCTTGTTCATTTAAAAGGGTTGTTGGCTTTTTGTTCCATTAATGGAGAAATCACTGGCAAAGCAGAGAAGGCCAACCACCCTTTTACAGAAAATCCCAAACTCTCTGTCGCCTCATTCTTCTTCCATTTTTGGCTATGCTCGAATTTGTTGCTTCTCACAGAACACCTGTGTGTAAAATAGGGCAAAAATTCTGGGGAAGTGGAATCAGGGGCATATTGGTCAATCGATAAACTATTTTCCTTTTTCGGAAGTAAATTAAATCGAGTTCATTATCCTTATCATTTGTTAAGCTTAATTTTAGAAAAAAATTGGATATACAAAAGAACAAGATATCTAAATGTTAAAATTAAAATTTTCAAGCAAATATCAGAGAAGATAGAAATTAAAGGAAAAGAAAGTCTTGTTCGAGAGGGTCTCCAATTTCGTATTGGATTTATAATTTCAATTTAGTAATTAAGCTTGATAAATCGTTGACGTTTTTCGATGTGATTTGAGATTAATTTGATGTGATTTTATTCTTAACAATTAAAGCATTTTCAACTCATTTTAACTTTTAGTAATATATTTGTCTTGTTATATCCTACGTAAAATCGAAGAACCTATTTAAATAGCTGCTATAATAAAGTTACAAGCTTGGATTTGATCTATGTGACCGTGATATTTGTGATCTAAGTTTTGTTTATTGCATAATATTCAATTTTTTATCTATCGTCATGGTAATTTAACTAACATCTAAAAATTAATAAAAACATTTTTTTGTATTTCTTCTGTTTGGACTAGCATGCAACTTGCAAGTATGTAAATATAAATTCGAATGTTTGTTATACCAAGAAGACAAGATAAGTAGATGAAGGGAAATACTTTTCTTCTATTCAAGTGTATCTTATAATGACGAATGATATCTATCAATCTAAAGGTCGCCAACCATACTGAATGTCAAATTAGTAGATATATTGTTATTCCAAAAGGCTCATATCACCTAGGAAATACACATACATGAATATAAGTATAAGTTCATGAATAAACTTAATGGACAATCCAGTTAGTTCAATTGATTTATAACCAGAAGGAAAATATAATTTGCTAACATAAATTGTAAGGCAATACCTTCTACAATCTATGGTGAAGTGAAAACTTGATTCAAAAATTCCATTCTAGAGCGTTTCATGCATGATACCACCAAAAAAAATTTACCTAGATTAATCACATTGCTTGCAAAGTTGTGCTTCACATTGTAAGAATCCTTTTAGCAAGCTTGTTTTTTAATGAATATATTGTTTAAGTAACTTAATTCAATCTCCTTTGTTGCAAATTTTTTAAACGTAAAGGATAAAATGCAGAAGCAAAAAAAAGGCACAACAATATTCACCACTTCATCTTGTTGACACTAAAAAAAAAATTGCCATATGAGGTACAAGACAGAATCACAATCATTTAACAGTAATGTTGTCTGCTATTCGAGTCTTTGTTGTATAAATAATTTTTCTGCCAACAGAAATTTGAGTTAGAAAGCCTCTGCTAAAACTAATAAACAGAAAATAATATACTACTTAACAAATTTGGCATATATATTAAAGACACAAAAAGCTCAGAAAATACACAATTTAGTGAAACCAAAAACAAGAAGATTAAAGGCAAAACATTGCAGCAGTATACACTTTAGTGTTATCGATACTAATCAATGTATAAAGTGTACGTGAACTCCAAAAACATCAGAAAAAGAACAAATAAAGAAAATCTCAAACTCAAAGAAAAAGTAAGCAAAAACTAAGGTAAGGCTGTGATTCTTGCTCACAGTCAAACATCAATAAGACAGCTAACAATCTGAGAAACATATAGACAGAACAACAACAGAGAATGAATAATACTATAAAGGATAGAAGAAAGTAGAATTAAGAAAGAAGTCACAGTTGAGATAGAAGAAAGTAGAATTAAGAAAGAAGTCACAGTTGAGATAGAAGAAAGTAGAATTAAGAAAGAAGTCACAGTTGAGATAGAAGAAGTAGAATTAAGAAAGAAGTCACAGTTGAGATAGAAGAAAGTAGAATTAAGAAAGAAGTCACAGTTGAGATAGAAGAAAGTAGAATTAAGAAAGAAGTCACAGTTGAGATAGAAGAAAGTAGAATTAAGAAAGAAGTCACAGTTGAGATAGAAGAAGTAGAATTAAGAAAGAAGTCACAGTTGAGATAGAAGAAGTAGAATTAAGAAAGAAGTCACAGTTGAGATAGAAGAAGTAGAATTAAGAAAGAAGTCACAGTTGAGATAGAAGAAAGTAGAATTAAGAAAGAAGTCACAGTTGAGATAGAAGAAGTAGAATTAAGAAAGAAGTCACAGTTGAGATAGAAGAAGTAGAATTAAGAAAGAAGTCACAGTTGAGATAGAAGAAAGTAGAATTAAGAAAGAAGTCACAGTTGAGATAGAAGAAGTAGAATTAAGAAAGAAGTCACAGTTGAGATAGAAGAAAGTAGAATTAAGAAAGAAGTCACAGTTGAGATTATCGAAATGGTACTCAAACATAATGTAAACGACACTCAGCACATATGTTGAACATTCTTATGGGCTCTTCTACAATCAGTAGAAAAGTTCTCTTATCTTTGAAAATGGAAGCGTAACTTGTAAGCTAAACATGACTCTATTTTGTATTTTTCAATTTTTACAAGTAAATGCTTACTAAGAAAAGACCTAAGAATGATAACAAGACCCTAAACCGGTGCACAAAAGACCAAAAAGTACATGACCACGATGTTTCATCTAACTTCACTTGACAGGGCTGCTCCAAGGGGACCTAATTATTTTAACGAGACCACCTATTCTTTGAATTTTCATCTGCAAAACTTCTCTCATCTATCCATCTAGAACTTTGTTCAGGGGGGCAGTGGCCTCTTGTTGGAGATGAGAAATCTTCACCATAATTGGCTGTAAAACCATGTTTCTGGAAGGGCATTCTTGTTCGCTTCATTCTGGCATCAGACCTTATATCTGGAGATCTACTATGCCTTCTTCTGCTGTTGAGGTTTCGTTCTCTCTGTGTATGCCACGAATGGGGAGAAGGTGTTCTAGATCTTAAACGAGATCTCCTCCTCGGCAGTGAAATTCGAGCTACTCTACTTGAAGCTGGAGAACCAGTTCTTTCTCCTCTGGGTATATACTGAGGCACGCGTATAGAAGATAAATCACCATCACCAGGCATAAACTCATACCCTTCTTCCCTTACACCTCTTGCAACCCTCTCAGAGACACTTTCAGCACCATTGCGGCTCCGGTAGCCTCCTCTCACTGGTACCATCCTCCTATGGACATCATAATAGTCATCCCTTTCAACAGATGATCTCCTCCTCACAGGTGGCCTGCGCGCACCTTCTGAGGGAAAAATTATTGATTGCTGATGATCTCGAGAGTTTAACCCACCAAACTTGTCAGCAGAATTTGCAAAATTGCAGTGCCTTGAGTAATTATCACTCTCAGGGTCACGATAAGCATTTGGGTAGCAATTTCTTGAATTCGAGCTATTCCACTGGCCATTCATTGCCCCTTTGTCTTGTGAAGTATAACCAGATCGATATCTACCAACGAATTTATCTGGACTACCTTCTCTTACTGGCTTATTGTAACAACCAATAAGGTTATGGGGCCTACAAGAATCATCAAGTAAATTATAAGAAAGCAAGACTCAAAGGAAAGAACCATCTTAAGAGGCATCATAGTCAGAAAAACAAATACTCACATGCATTGGTGCTAAAATTATCAGGTAATTTATAAGAAAGAAAGACTTTTATGTTAGACTTTAAGGAAAGAACATTGTAAAGGACATTAGTCTTGGAAACAAAAACCCACCTGTTTTGGTACTTCCGTGCAGCGCTATTCCCATCTGCCGCACCCAAATATAGCGGTCCTTCAATACGTGACTGTAGCTTCCCTCTGTTTGTCTTTGAACTAATTTCCTCCGTGTATGACCCTCTAAATTCATATGCTGCCATGCGATCAGATGTATGTCCTTTTCTAAAAGTATCTTCTTTTCCTCCAATCTTATCACTGAACCTTAGAGTTGTAGATCCAGATCCAGGACCCAACCCTTTCTTTCCATCACTATCACCAATGCTATTGTCCTTCCTGTTGAATTGCCTCTTCATAAAGTTTTTTGCAGATCCACCCTTCACAAAATTCACTCCTGGTCCGCTGGTTGACGAGATTCTTTTTTCTGTACTTTGTGAACCATCAGAACCTGCTTCAACCATTTCAGAGGATGGGTAATCACTAACATCAAAATCCAAGTCAACTCTACCATCTGATGCATAATTAACACATTCATCTTCACCATCCTTAATTTCATTGTCCTCCAAAGAATACATAATTGATCCCTTTAATTCTCCATCCTCAAATGGAGAATCATAGCCAGCCTCAATTCTAGTCACATGCTCTCGACTAATCAGTTGACTATGATCTTCATGAGATATATCAGAATTATGGCTATCTTCAAAAGCCGAAGCACTCCTTGCAAATTGACTAGTATCATCGATCTGCAATCCCTCATTACAGCTTCTTGATGAGTCCTTCCCAGAAGTTGTGCAGTTTTCCACTTGATTAAATATTAAGTTATCACTGAACTTAGAAATTACTTCATTCCCTTCTAACTGCATTTGAGAATCAATAGCTAATTTGTTGTAATGTTGCTCCATGGGTTCAACGGTAATAGACTGGCCCTCAACTATTGAGGCCTTTGAGGCAGACAAATCTTCACACTTGGATGAATGATTGCAGAAATATTTTTCTGTAGGATTACTATCAGAACTTTCAACATCCATGACATTCAAAATACTAGTATCAGATACTTCACTGGTTATAGGATCACTACAGTCAATGTATTTAGAGGCATTCTCACAACCAGGCTTTGCTGGGTATGGGACCTCAGATAAAGCAGCTTTATTAAATCCTGCAGCCTTTACAGAAGAATCTCTAATCTGTGTCAAAACTAGGCCATCAGAAGCATTCGTAATTAATCCATTTGAAACAAGCATGCATGAAGCATTATGTGATTTAACTAAAGAAGAATCAGCTAATGATGCATCTCCAGTGACAAGTTCATCAAATGTTTCTCTTTGGGCAGATAAAGAGTCCAAGGCTTTGGTAGAATGGCTAACAATGTTTCCAAACTCACCAGAGATTCTATCATTAACTGAGACTGATTCAAGCTTGCATACTTCAGCAAACTCATAAA